TGATTGGCATTCTGAGCTCGATTCCGCACGTTCGAGTCTCGCGCGCCCAGATTTACAATCGCGGTGCAGATTTGCCATTCAACGCTGGGCGTCCACAGTTGCATTCTGCGCGACATTTGGTCCCTGGCGCTGGCGCTCTCGCCTGGCGTTGCCACGCCATTTCGCACTCGAGCGCGCAGCTGCCCGAATTGCTTTCTTGGGCCGACGCGCGCTGCAGGGTCCACGCACAAGACCCGGTCAGCTTGCACTGGGCACCTTGGGCACTCGGGGTCGGATGTGTGCAGGCGGCAGAAGCTAGTCCTTGATGGGGGGGCATTGGCTAACCCCCCACCTGCACACAACGGGGGCGGGGGTGCTCGCGCAGCACGCCTGCCCTCGACCGAACCCCGGGGGGCCCGCGTCCCAAACGGCACGTATTCGGCATATCCCTGCTGACGCCTTTTCACCAGAGAACTCAGAATCAAATTCTGGTGTGGCTCGTGAAATTTGAGCTCCGGCCATTGAAGATTCGATCCACTGCGGGCGGATTTGTTTAGAGCAATTTTTCGGGCAACCCGAAAAATAGCAGTCCGACGATGGTCGACCGAAGTAGCGTGGGATGAGCGGAAGCCCCCTCGCGTGCGGCCACTTGGCCAAAACAGGCCACGGCACGCTCAAAATAACTCTCTCCTTGCTCTAGCCCGTTGCTGGCTTCGCCGCTCACGCCTCTGAAATTTGCAATAGAAGGCCCAAAAGCATTGCATAGAAGGCCCATGCCCATTGCAGGACGCCAAGGCGCTGTCATCTCGCAGTCGGTTTCGCTGGACTCGCCTTTGCACAGGTTGTCTGGCGGCAGCCCCAAAGTGACAGTGATGGCATTCTTCCGAGGCTGGGCTGTGCGCAAGCGACCCCCAGACCGAGGTTGCTTGTAGTAGACGCTTCCACTGTCAGCAGTCTGGCTCTGTAGACATTTGTGCCCAAGCAAGGCGGCATAATGGAAGAGCGTCTCGAGAACCTGCGGTCTTTGATTCGCCAGACAAATGAAACCAAGGTCTGGTGGCAAGGCGTGCGCGGTTTGACTTTGCGTTTCGAGTTCTTGAAACAGCGTGGCGCCGCTCCAGAGTTTTTACAAACGTGGCGGAATGGGATCAGTCTCGGTGCCGCTGCGGCTCCGCCAGCCAACATTCCCAATCACCCTTCAGTTGCCCAACATAGCTCGTGGGCGACTGCCGAGTGGAGCAGGCTAGAGGCACTGGGAAAGGTTCGGTTCTTCAGCTCAAAGCCGCCGACTCCCCATGTCAACCCATGTGCTTTGCTGTTGAAACCAAGGGAGGGCGTGGACGCCACTGCTGCGGAGCAAGAGCGCTTCAAAGCAAGGCTGATTTTGGACCTCAGACGGGGCAGGGTGAACGAGCGAATGCCTCAGGTGTCTGTATCATATGGCACAGTGGACCACGCAGTGTCCATGCTGCAGTCTGGTTCTTTCATGTTCGTCATAGATTTGCAGGATTGTTTTTTTCAATTGGCGCGTGTCCACAGCCGATGCCAACCTCCTGGGTTTCTTTTGTCCTGCCAGGCAACTACGCGGTCGATGCGAATATCTTCCTTTCGGCCTTGCCCCGGCGCCCGGCCTCAATGATAGTTCCATGAAGGAATTGTTGCGCTTGTTGGGGATTACAGCGGGCGTACGCCTGCTCGATTTCGTGGACGACATGTTCGGGGAAGGAAGCACCGAAGAAGAAGCCTGGATGCGCCTCGAAAAATCAGTGCAATGTTTCCTGTCAGCTGGTGTGCCTGTTAGTGGGAAGCCCACTGGCGTTCGGCCCCCAAGCACGCGGCAGCGTTGGATCGGTTGGGTTTTCGATTCCGTTGAAATGGTGGTGACTGTTGAGCAAGACAAGTGTGATAAGGTGTGCCTCTCAATTGCACAGATTTTGTCGGCAGACGACGCCCGGACTCTTCGCGCGAAGGATCTGGCGACCACGGCGGGTTTGGCCAGCCACCTGGGCGAGATTTATCCACAAGCACGGCGGCGGTTGCATCCCATTTGGGCGGATATGAATGCAGCTGGCGTGTATGCGATGTGGGCACGGAGCCCTGTAGCGAACCCGCCTGTGCAGCTATCCGAACTCAGCAGGAAAAACCTTGCATGGGCCTTGCGATCGCTGGCGTCGCCGCCTGTTCGCTCTCTGCATTGCAACGCGGGTGCTCTGAGCAAGTGGAGCCACAAGTCTCCAGAGTTTTCTCGGTGGCAGGAATTGGCAGAAGCAGGCGCCATTCGGGTAATAGAGACAGACGCGTCTTCCCAACATGGCTGGTCATATCACATTTGCCATTTGGGAAAAGTAGTTTCAGGAACACGGCCGTCCGATTTCGCCACGTCACAGAACTTGTCACCCGGTGAAGATGAGATCAATTACAAAGAGCTCTGGGTTGTCGTAAAATGTTTTGAGGATTACGGGGGAGAGTTAAGTGGCTGGCGCTTACTATTTCGAGTGGACAACACTTGCGCTGTTCATTACGTGAATGTGCGTTACGGCAACATTCCTCGAATGAAGACCCTGGCCGAAAAACTGGAAGCAGCAGAAAGACGTGTCTCCTGTTGGGCATTGGCGGTGCATTTGAAAGGCATCGCAAATAGAATTGCTGACTTGGGATCGCGAAATTCGGAATTTGCGTTCCAATGGAATTCCGATCAATTCCAGCATGCTTCCATCAAGGATAACATCTTTCGCGACATCCTCGCCAGGACAGGTGCCGAATTCTCCCTCGACCTTTTCGCGGACAGGGAAGGAATGACAGCCAGGGCCCCAACGTGGCGTTCGCCCGAGCGCACAGCATTCGAGGCGTGCTTGCTCAATGAAGTGGCGTGGGCTCATCCACCGCGCGCCTTGCTCCGGCCTGCGTTGGAATTCCTGAACGCCGCACTTGCACAGGAAAGCCAGCCGAAGATCGTGCTGTTGTGCCCGGAAGATGTTGGGGCTCCGTGGTTCCGGCCACTTTTCCTGCAGCACTGGCACCGTGTCCGGTCGTGGCCCAAAGGCTCAGATTTGTTCAGGATTCGTGAAGGCATGGCCTGGCGGTCTGGCCCAAAAACTGATGTCCCTTACCTTTTGCTGCAGAGCTGGCAGCCAAACAGACGCAAGCGCAAGCTCGGGCGAGCCTGAAAAAAGGAAACATCATCTTCATCTGCTCATCCTTTTCTTTCTTGTGTGTCCAGGTTGCCATTGCGGGTTCGCTGTGGTCTTGTCGAACATCTATTCTCGCAGCCGCGTCCAGCTCGCGAAGCGACTTGCCACCAACATCCGACCGTGCCCCCGTCTCGTGTTTCGCTTGCACTTACCAGGGATGGCGGAAGCAGCGATCCGGGCGGCGCTCGAGCAGGGCGGCGCCATCCGCACCGCCATCGTCGAGGAGATTGCCAAAACCTTCCAGCCAGGGGAACCAGGCTTGCGCGCCATTGAGAAAACAGCGGGTGAGGTCGTGCGCGACAGGGCCATTGAGGCAGTGACTGCGGTGTTGAAAGATCCTACGTCAGGTTTGTCGACGCTCATCAAGGACGAATACAACAGGCGCGCAGACACTGAGTCCGTACAGGGCGAAGCTCCGCGCACTTAGCATGGACGAGTGGGTGTCGGCCTGGCGCGATTTGGTCGTAGACCAGGACCAGGTATCGTGGACGCTCCAAGCCGTCGAGCAGAACAGCTCCCTGGCCACAATCCTGGCGCTGCAGGCGGCGCACCCCGAGAACGCCGACTTGCAGCAGCTTCGCCGCGCGTCTACAGCGCGCTATGCGGCAAAATTGTCATGGAAGCAGCTGTGCCTCCCCAGCCATGGCGGCTCGTGGGGCAAGCTCAAGAACTTCCTTATGGAGAAGGCAGATTCACCATTGGACAATGTCAAGGCCCTGGCGCGATCGTTGCTGGTCTTGTTGAACCTCTTGGACCGCCGCTGCACTGTCGCGCAGTCCGCCAAGAAAACGGGGCCAGAGAAAGCTGCAGCGCAGAGGGAGCACCTCCTCGAGTTCATTCACCTGGCCATCAAGCAATACAAGCGGCGGACCACGAAAGCGAGTGCGTCTATCCCGCTTGAGCACGAGCTCTTGTTGCGCGACTTCGCCCAGGACCTCATTTTGGCAGAGGCAGCGCTGGCGGCCAAGGGGCCCGGAAAAAGGCTGGCTGCGTCTGATGTGTCAGGGGCGCCGTCGGCGAAGGCACCTCGCTACGGCGAGAGGTCTGCGGGCGCTTCCCCCCAGGTTTCGGCGCGCTCCAGTGGTTCAGCCAACCAGGGCATCACCGCGAAGAAGGAGCCCGGCGACAAGCCCGACCGCAAGGCCTTGTTGGACACGCTGCTGCGCGAGCTGGAGCACGTGGTCCGGACCGGCAGCGCCAAGAAGATCCAGTCTTGGGTTGACAAGCAATACCTTGTGAGTGAGCAGCACAAGAGCACGATGACGTGCCTCTTCAGGGAGCACGTGTGCAAGAATTGCTTGTTCAGCGGCAAGGGCATCGTCAAACACGCGCTGAAGCACTGCAAGGAACAGGGAAACGATTGCATGCTTCCGTGTTCCAAATGCACGAAGGCGGGACGGACAAGCCATCTCCTGCACTGGATGTCGGAGTGCAAGAACTAGGCATCCCCAGCCGCGCGCCAGAGCCATTCGATTTTCCATGGCGTTTAGCCGCCTGCTGCTGTTCCCGACGTGCAGGCCGCTTTAAAGAGATCCTTGAAAAATGAAAAATAACAGGCCTCAATGGGGTGTCCGCCACGGCTGGTTTCAGAGGCTCCGTATTGAGTGGGCCTTCCGTCTTTCATGCGCCACATGTGTCTTCCCACTGCCGTTCCGTAGCCTCGGGCCCAAGACAATGGACGATTTCGTGCACAGAAATGATTTCAATTCGCCCCCTTCCAAAGCAGCGCGCGCTGGATCGCGGCGGCCGCCCCTTCCGCTGGCACCGGCAGCTGCGCGTGCTGGCGCTGGCGGAGATGGCGCTGCGTCGGCGGTGGCGGTCCCCTCGCAGGATGCAGCGGTTCCTGGGCGCTCGGGCATTGGAGTTGGGGTGCGGAAGGCCACGTCGTTCCTGAGCATGCTCGACATCAGCCGCGCTGCTTGGGCGTCTTCTGGCGCAGTTCCGCTGGACACGGCGCTGTGTCAGTCTCTTGTCGCCGACGGTGCTTCTGCGACCTCCACAGGTAGCAGTGGCTCTCGGGGCAGCCCCGCCCGCGCGGCCGCACCTGTTGCAGAAGTTTCTAGCGGGTATCCCAGGCTGACGGTGGCGGCCGCCGCGGACACGCCGAGTGCGATTCACGCAGACGGCCCTGGGGCTCGCAGCCTCGGTGCTCCCAGGGCTCCGCTTGCACTGGTTGCCGGCGAGAGTGCGCCGGTGCAGTTGGCCGCGCGTCGGAAGGCTGCCGCTGACATCGATCGCTGTTTGGCGGCGGCCTGGGAGCCGTCCACGCGCAGTCGCTACGACGCCACCTTGCGCAGCGTGGTGAGCACAGTCGAATCTGACACTGCGATGTCCTTGCTGCCCTGCGACACGGAGGAAAAGGTCATGGTGTTGTTCGCTGGGATGATCGGCCAGCCTTGGGGCACTGTGGGCGCAGCAAAAGCTGCCGTCAGGGCCTGGCATGTAGAGCGTGATTTACTTGCTGCTTTCGATTTGGCTTGGACTCCTCGAGCTTGGCATTTCTGGCGAGGTCTCAAAAAGCTCGCTGACCATTCGCTGCGGCACGCCAAGCGGCCACTTTCGTTCGACGAGGCGCGTGTTGTGCAGCGTTGTCGCCTTGCCCAAGCCTCAGACGCTGGTTTGCGCGATGCTGCAATGGTTGCGACAGCATTCTTCGGGATCCGGCGCTTTGCAGAAGTACAAGGGCTTCTCACAGAGGATGTTGTTTTCCAGGAAGATGCTGTTGAGTGCCGTATCCGCCGGCAGAAGAACGATCCTTGCGGCGTGGGAATGCTCATCTGGCTCCCGCGGCTGCCAGAGTTGGGGCCGCTCTGCCCTCTGAAACTTATGCAGTCGTGGGCGGCTCGCAGAGCAGCTTTGTGGCCAGCTTCCACTGGTTATTTCTTTTGCGTGACCGGCGCCGCCTCCCCGAGAGCAGTGCCCGCGGATACTTTCCGCAGAATGCTATCCCGACATGTGAAGGGCCCCGCCTCGGTGGGGAGTCACTCACTGAGAAAAGGCGGCGCCTTGTGGTGGAAGCATGCCGCGGCGTTCCCGGAAACCCCTGTGCAAGCGCAGGGCGGGTGGTCGTCTCTCGATGTCATGAGAGCGTTTTACACGAAGCACCCAGACTCCGATCGCCGTCAATTGTTGTTGGGTGCTGCGGCGGCCGCTAACCCAAAGCAGGCTGCGCCCTCTGCAACTGCGCAGCGGCCGCTGCTGGCCTTACCTGTTTGGAAGCAGCCTCTGTAATTAATTTAGGCCCCGGTGGGGTAAGGGCCCTCCTGAAGGGACGCGCCCTGTGGCCTGCGGCTGAAGCAGCACTCCCGCCGAGCCACGGCTGTGGCATGAAGAAAATATTGCTACACGCTTCGCGTGCGCACTGCCTCTCCCGCGCCGTTCTTCGCCCCGGAGGCCTCCTTGGTGCTCCTGCTCGGCGGTGGTAGGCGGAAAGCGCAGTTTCTGAGGAGGCTGTGCATTCGGGAAACGAGGTTTTCGCGGACACCCCAAAACAAGTTTATTCTTCGTATCAAATCATTGCAGGTTGCTCCCCTTATATTGCAATATCGATGGGCTTCGCCTTCATGTGGGGTCTTTCACCGTCGGTATTGTTTTCTCGAGCGCAGGCCCAGGGGGTAGTTCCGCGCGCTTTTCGCGGACCCGCCCGCCCGCCCTGGGTTCGCACCTCGTGCTGGTCGCAATCCGCCCTTCCCCGGAGGGGTAAGGGCCCTCCCTGAAGGGATGCGCCCTGTGGCCTGCGGCTGAAGCAGCACTCCCGCCGAGCCACGGCTGTGGCATGAAGAAAATATTGCTACACGCTTCGCGTGCGCACTGCCTCTCCCGCGTCGTTCTTCGCCCCGGAGGCCTCCTTGGTGCTCCTGCTCGGCGGTGGTAGGCGGAAATGGAACGATCTGATAGGCGACCTGTGGCTTCGAATCGCCCGCGCTGGCGTGCTTCTCTATAGTTTTTCATTCCCAGCCACCTTAACGTGGCAGACGCGCCGACCAGGCCGGAAAGCAAGGCCGCAGCGCTGGAAGCGATGCGCGCCGCAGGTTTCCGCCATGTCGCATGGGTTGCTCCTTGCGATGCGCCGCGGCCGCAGCGAGGCCGTGGAGCTGGAAAATGAGCGCCATGGAAAAAGCATGTGCTCATCGGCGTCTTCAGTCGTCTCTTCTGGCCGCGTTGCTTCTCAAAGGCAGTTCGTGTGTTTTGGCACGGCTGGGTCCGCGTTATGGTCTCGGCGTTGGTCGCGTTTCAGTGCCGTTTTGGGCGGGTCCCAACCGGGTGCCGTGTTCGCGGCGCGTTCCTCTCTGGCCTGGAAGCGTGGTTCTGTGTTTTTTTCGTTTTGGGCGACCGGTCTGCGTCTCGTGCTTGGTTTGCAGTTTGATGTGGGTCATGCGTAGTCGCGCTGCCTGTCCGTCATCGTCGCCGCACGTCGATTCTGTAGCAGCTTGGCCCAATATGCTCAAATTTCTTGAGCAGAGCCGGGCCAGCGCTGCTGGGAGGTCAATTGCTGCAGCGGACCCACCTTCGGGCTCGGAGGGTTCATTTGCAGGGTTGTCCACGCTGCTGGAGCGAGCCGCTGCTGTTTCGGGGGCCGACGTGGGCGTGGCGTCGCTGTGCGGCAAGCTTCAGGAGGCACGTGTTTCGAACAGTGATGATTTCCGCGGCATTACTGTGGAGGAAGCGGTGCTTATTTGGGCACCTTTGGCCACCGTGTCCGAGACGTTCGTTCGTGCGCTGATTGCTGCATGCAGCCCTGCAAACCGAGTGGCGGCGCCCCAGAATATTAGTGGGGCAGGTGTTTCATCAAACTCGCCTCCTTGTCGCCAAGGAGGCGCAGGCCCACGTTCACCGCCTCCAGCGCCGGAGACCAGAGCGACAGCTGAGGCAGCGCTTCGGTTATGTGCAATGATTTTCATGGCGCGTAAACGTGTTTCCGTCACAGGAAAATCATCAGGAGCAAGCCCTCGCATTGTTTTCTCCTTGCTTCTTCGCCTCTATGCCTCTTCGCCTGCCTCGCGGGCTGGTAGTCCTCGGCAAGCCGGCGATTCCGTGGAACGGCGGAAGTAAGCTCCCAGGCGTGGCTCTACTGGCGTGGGGTTTCTCGAGGCTTACCCGCGCTCCTCGTCGCCGCAGCCCGCGTTCCTCGTCGGCTAGGCGTGTCGGTTGTCCTCGTCGCTTGAGCTTCCTGGAGGAAGCAGCGTCGGAAGCTAGTCGATTCTTGCCGCTCCTCGTCGCCTTGACCGCTGGGAGTGTCGTCCTGCCGCTCTTGCACAGCCATGTTCGCCGACTTGGGGACCTCTGGCTTGCCACGCCCACCGACTTGGAGGCCTCTGGCGCCAAGCCCGCCGACTTGGGGGCCTTTGGCATGGGTCCCTGCCTTTTCGCGGGCAAACCCAGGGTCCCTGTCTTCTCGCGGACAAACCCAAGCCCTAAGGGCTGTTCCCCTTGGGGCCTTCGCCTTTTCGCGGGCAAACCTAGGCTCCCTGCTTTCTCGCGGACAAGTGCTGCTTCAAGAGCGTGATGCTCTCTGGCGGGAGCGCTCTGTCTGGCGTGCCCGCGCTCGTCGCCACCCTGGCCCGCCGAGAGGGCATCCTCAGCCATGTCCGCCGACTTGGAGACCTCTGGCTTGCCACGCCTACCAACTTGGAGGCCTCTGGCGCTAAGCCCGCCGACTTGGGCGGGGGCCTCTGGCATGGGTCCCTGCCTTTTCGCGGGTAAACCCAGGGTCGTGTCTTGTCGCGGACAAACCCAAGCCCTAAGGGCTGTTTCTCACCGCGCCTGCGCGCCGTCTCTGGCCCTCCCGCATACCACCCTCGCGGCTTTCGCCGGTGCCCTGTCCTGGCTGGGAGTCTCGGATTGAGATCCAGAAGATCCAGCCAGGCAGCGCGCTCATGAGCGGGGGCGGAATCGCGCTACGATTGCGTGGCAGGGCACCTGCGCTCATAAGCGCTGCCTACGCTCTCCGAATGCGACTCCGGGCGCTGCCTGAGCGCTCGGACTGCGCTCCTGGGCGCGCCTGCGCCCGAACGCGCGGAAGCTCTGACAGCAAACCTGCGCCGAAGCAGAGCTCGAACGCGTGGATCGTGCTATGATTGCGTTCCCGCGCGCGCCTGCGCCCGAACCCGCGCACTCGCGCTCCAATTGTACTTCTGGGCACGCCTGCGACCATAAGCAGTCAATCGCGCACTGATTGTGATTACAGGCGCCGCCCCTGCGCGCGCCTGAGCCTGAACGCGCGGAATCGTGCTCCGATTGCGCTTCTGGGCGCGCCTGCAGCGCGTCATCGCGCTCTGATTATAAGTCTGGGCGCGCCTGCGCCCCTGCGCCTCGCCTGCGGCGCGCCATCGCGCTCGGATTACAATTGTGGGCTTGCTACGCCCCTGCGCGCGCCTGCGCCTGGACGCGCGGAATCGCGCTCCGGTTGCGCTTCTGGGCTCGCCTGCAGCGCGTCATCGCGCTCCGATTGCAATTCCGGGCGCGCCTGCGCCCCTCCGCGCACCTGCGCATGGACGCACGGAATCGCGCTCTGCTTGCGCTTCCGGGCACGCCTGCGACATCAGCTTATTATCGCGCTCCGATTGTGATTCCGGGCGCGCCTGCGCCCCTGAGCGCGGAATCGTGCTCCGATCCCGGACCTCCGCCTGTGCCTCTGCGCGCGACTGCGCCTGAACGCGCTGAATCGCGCTCTGATCGCGCTTCTGGGCGCGCCTCATCGCGCTCCGATTGCAGTTCTTGGCGCGCCTGCGCCCGTGCGCGTGCCTGCGCCTGAACGCGAGGAATCGCACTCCGAGTACGCTTCTGGGTGCGCCTGGGCTCATAAGCGCGTTGTCGCGCTCCGATTGCGAGTCCGGGCGCGCCTGCGCCCGTGAGCTTAGAATCGCGCTCTGATTGCCTTCCGGGCGAGCCCGCGCCCGCAAGCATAGAATAAAGTTTCGATTGCGTGTCTGGTCGCGATTACGCCCGAACGCGCGAGATCGCGTTCCAATTGCGTTTCTGGGCGCGTCCGCGCCCATCAGCACAGAGTCGCGCTGGGATTGCAAAAATGACCGGGCGAGCCTGCGCCTGAACGGGGGAATCGCCGTTCGCGGGCAGCGCCGAACGCATGAGGTCGCGGCCCAAAGCAGACGCTCTCAAGCGCGCAATCACACTCTGGTTGCGTTACAGAGCGCCTGTGTCATACGCGCGCCGTCGCTTCAACTGCAACTTTTAGCGCTCCCTACGCGCGCGCGCACGGAATCGCGGCCTGATTGCTTTCCAGGACGGGTCTGCCTCCGCAAACGCGGAGTCGCGCTCGAATTGCGAATCTGGGCGCACCAGCCCCCGAATGCACGGAAACGCGCGCCGATGGCGAACCTCCGTGCGCCTGCGCCCGTTGGTGTGACATTGCGCTCCGATTGCGCTTCTGGGCGCCGGCGCCCAGGAGCGCGGGATCGCGCTCCGATTGCGTTCTCGGGCGCGCTTGTGCCCGCCAGAACGAGAACGCAATGGCGCGCCGGCACTTCCGCAGCGCCCATGCGCGCCAAACCGCGCTCCGACTGCCTTTCGGAGCGCTTGCGCCCGCAGGCGCCGTTTACCGGGCACTGCCAGCCCGAACGCGTTCCGACTACCATTCCGGGTGCGCCTGCGCCCGTTGGCGCAAAAACGCGGTCCGATGGCAACTCCGGGCGCGCCCGCGCTTCCGCAGCGCGTGAGCGGGCGGAATCGTGCACTGGTTGCAATTCTGAGCGCGCCTGCGCCCGCAGGCGTCGCGCCCCGATGGCAAGTCCGGGCGCGCCCGCGCCCGAACGCGCGGAATTGCGCTCGCAATTCCGCTGCGCCCAGACGCACACAATCGCGATGACGAACCTGGCGCGCTTGCGCGCGTAAGCGTGGAGTCCCGCTTCGTGCGTCCCTGGGC